TTTTAGTTCCTGGCTCAGTATCACTAACTCTAATACTACTAATCTTTATTTTCAGTGACTTCAAATAGCCATATACTGAGTTCTTCTAATATCATGGCCCCAATTCCTTAACCTCTTCTACTTTTCTATGAGCTTATCTTCCATTCTACTTCACTCACTCCCCATGTTATTACATTAGACCTCGTGATTAGCAATAACTGCATCACCTCCAAAATATCAAGTATCCTTCGCTGATCACCTTCACATTGGCACTTACCCCACTCCATACTTCTTCTCTCTCTTCTTACCCAACTTAAATTCCATGCTCAATCACTCCCAACATGAACTCCCTTAACCTCTCATTTCACACTTGCTTGACAAAGCCTGAATCCTTGATAAATCCATCTCTCTTCCTACTCCATCACTGAATCTAAGTAGCTAAAAATGACTAGAGAAAATTATAAACCTTGATAATAGATTTTTATTTTTACATTTTATTTTTCTTTTTGGGGGTAGGGATGGGGGAGCATCTCGCTTTGTCACCCAAGCTGGGGTTCAGTGGCGAGATCATAGCTCACTGCAACCTTAAACTCCTAGGCACAATCAACTCTCCTGCCTCAGTGTCCCAAGTAGCTGGGACTACAGGCACATGTCACCATGCCCAGCTAATTTTTTTTTTTTTGTACTGATGGGGTCTTTGTTGCCCAGGCTGGTCTCCAATTCCTGGTTTCAACTAATCCTCTTTCTGTGGCCTCTCAAAGTGTTGGAATTACAGGCATGAGCCACTGCACCTGGCATATTTTTATATTTTCTTTTCCTTTCTTAAATGGTTAAGAACTAAAAAGGTAAACATTCATATGTCTTGTCTCATTTCTCTTGCCCACATGGATAAAAAACTTTATAAGTAAATATATACATATAATTTTTCACCCTCTTAGGCAAACAATAACACACTATAAAATACTCAGTTTTGTACTTAATTTTTTTCACTTATTAAATACAAAGGATCTTGCCATATCTGTGGTGAACGACTTCTTTATTTTTACCTAAGTATATATAATTCAACTATTTATATTAATACTTACAGTTTATCAATTAAAGCGATAGATTCATTATTTCTAGTCTTTGGCTATTACAAACAATAGTGCAATGAATGCTCTTGTGGATTTATCATTGCATACAAATATAGGTATATCTATAAGAAAAAGTACCAGGAGTTGGATTGCAGGGTCGAAATGGAAAATACATTTGTGATTTTGGTAGATGTCATTTTTTACTGAATGTTCCATAGCCACTTGAAAGAAGAATGAATATTAACAAGTATCAGGATACCAAATTTAACATAAATGCATCAATAATGTAGACCAGATAGAGTATGTGGATTAATACTTCTATTCCCTTATTAACTTTAGTCTACTTGGCCTGATTTTGACTGAGAAGAGTGAATTAATGTCTCCTACTGCTGGCAAGTGTCTATTTCTTCTATCTGCTTTAAATTTTGCTTTATGAGAGGTACTGCTATGATATTCCATATACATGTATTCAGAACTATTGTATCTTCATTTTGAAATTTATACTTTAAAAGTATATAATGTCCTTGGGCCATGTGTAGTTCTGTGATATGGCCTGAATCTAATTTAGTCTGTTTTCTTTTTTCTCTGGTCTTAATTTTATCATGTACATTTTTTTTTTTTTTTCGAAACAGGGTCTTGCTCTGTCATTCAGGCTGGGGTGCAGTGGTGTGATCATAGCTCACTGCAACCTCAAACTCCTGGGCTCGAGTGATTCTCCCACCTCAGCCTCAGCTTCCCGAGTAGCTAGAACTATAGGTGCACACAACCACACCCAGCTGATTAATAAAAAATTTTTTTTGTAGAGATCGGGTTTTATTATGTTACCTAGACTATTCTGGAACTCCTGGGCTCAAGTGATTCTCCTGCCTCAGCCTCCCAAAGTGTTGGAATTACTGACATGAGCCACCATGCCTGGCTTTCATCATGTGATTATTTTGTTAATTCTATCTTGCTTACTCTGTCTGCATAAATCTGGGTGTGTGTCTTAAGTCTTACAATACATAAGTTATTTTCTATCTCTCACTACCAGTTAAACTTCAGAAGGGAAGATTTGCATATATGTGATTTTTTTTCCCACTGATTTATTCCTAGTTACCCAGAAGAATGGCCTGTCGCATAGTAGGTACTCAATAAATATTTGTTAAATCACCTTATCAAATCAAGTTCTGACAAGAGAAACACTAATTTTTTTTTTTTTGAGACAGAGTCTTGATCTTGTTGCCCAGGCTAGAGTGCAATGGCACAATCTTGGCTCACTGCAACTCTGCCTCTCAGGTTCAAGTGATTCTCCTGCCTCAGCTTCCCGAGTAGCTGGGACTACAGGTGCCCATCACCTGGCTAACTGTGTATTTTTAGTAGAGATAATGTTTCTCCATGTTGGTCAGGCTGGTCTCGAACTCCTGACCTCAGGTGATCTGCCTGCCTCGGTGACCTGGCTGCCTCTGCCTCCCAAAGCGTTGGGATTACAGGTGTGAACCACCATGCCCGACTTCAAAAGAATATTATTTGTATTCTCTAATTGTTTCTGTTAGAAGATTGCACATAAAGGAGATGAAGAATGATTTATTTAACAAGTATATGAACATGGGTTGGAGAGGAGAGGAGCAAAAAATGAAAGGCCTGAAATTCTGGCACCATCACTTACTCAATAGTAAGTTATTGTATAATTCTCAGGTACGAAACAATGTCAGAATAAAGAACGCAGACCAGGCGCATGGCTCATGCCTGTAATCCCACCACTTTGGGAGGCTGAGATGGGCGGATCACTTGAGGCAGGAGTTTGAGACCAGCCTAGTGAAACTCTACTAAAAGTACAAAAATTAGCTGGGCATGGTGACATGTGCCTGTAGTCTCAGCTACTTGGGAGGCTGAAATGGAAAAATCACTTGAACCTGGGAGGTAGAGGCTGCAGTGAGCCAAGATTGCACCACTGCACTCCAACCTTCCCACCTAGGAGACAGAGTGGGGCTATGTCTCAAATAAATAAATAAATAAATGCAAGTAGTCACATGCCCTGCATACATACATACACACACACACACACACACACACACACACACGAAAACTATTTGAATTAGGACCAAGAAAAAACCAACTTACCTGGGCCATGGCTTATTTTACAATTGAATGTACTAATTAATCCTCTTCTTGATTCCCTCTGGAAGAAACTCAATCCAAAGGTGTTGCTAGGGGAGAGGGGAGTAAAAGAAAAGACAGAAGATTATTTATTGTCTCTAAGCTCCCAAAATGTTAATTCAGAATGACATTTTTCTTCCCCCTTCATATCTCCTATTCCCAGATCTGATACACACATACATAAATGATTAGAGGGAATCTGAACAAATTCTAGCTTTACTCAAAACCATGAGGAAACGCAGCTATAGCAGGATAGACTCAGGAAAAGCAAGGACCAGGCTCTTCGGCAGAAGGGATAGTTAGGCCAGCTCAGTGTCCCAATACTATGATGAAATGGAAGTCAGGACCAGGGTGCTGAGAAATGCCCTGAGCAGATTTTCACCGAATTAAGAGGAAAAAGAAAAGGAAATGGATATTATGTGAAAAGGCTAGGAAGATAGAAAACAGACCCAAAAGACCCAATGTATGTATAACAGGAATTTCAAAAGTAGAGGTTAAAACAACACAGATGGAAGAGAATAAATAAATAGAGTAAAAATTTCGAGACCAAAATAAATTCTTGAGTCTTTAGTTTGAAGCACAGTGCTGTAAGAATTAAAGAAGAATCACACCTGCAAACATCCTGGGAAATATTGTTTGTCTTTGAATACAGACAAAAGGACATAAATATCTTTTAGTAAGAAGCTGCAGAGACCAGGCGCGGTGGCTCACGCCTGTGATCCCAGCACTTTGGGAGGCTGAAGTAGGCGGATCACGAGATCAGGAGTTCGAGATCAACCTGGCCAACACGATGAAATACAACATTTAGCCAAGCATGGTGGCGGGCGCTTGTAATCCCAGCTACTCAGGAGGCTGAGGCAGGAGAATCGCTTGAAACCAGAAGGCAGAGGTTGCAGTGAGCCAAAATCGCGACACTGCAGACACTGCACGCTAGCCTGGGTGAAAGAGTGAAACTCTGTCTCAAATAAATAAATAAATAAATAAATAAATGAAAAGTTGCAGAACAATGTGCATTGTGGCCTAATCTTAGAAAAAATAAACACATATGTACATAAGCATACTACATATGTGGTGTATTTCTGAGGCTGTGATACTAAATGCAGGGTGGCAATGTGATTTTAGTTTGTGGTGTGTGTGTGTGTATACCTAGAGCTGACTCCACAAGTAGTCAGGAGGGGCTGAGATGGATGAATGACGCTCTACAGCAGGGCGTCCTGAGCCTTAGATCTGTACAGAAGAGCTGGGTGAGGTGACTGCGTGTGTGTCTAATTGTGTGTGACAGACCAGAATTGACTTGAGAGGAGTGATAGCTATCTGCCTGATCGTGTGAGCCCGAGGATAACGGTTTGTGTAAATGTGCTTTTTCTTTCATGTAAATAAATGGGACTTAACACAAATAGCCACTCATAATCACGGTCACAGTCCCTACAAACCCCATTCACACAAATGATCAGACACATAATCACACTGTCACAAAAGCACACCCACTATCGCTGTCACACCACTAACACACAATTAGCCCAAAGATAAACCCGACTTCCTCACGCACTCATAACACACCCACATAAGGGGTGATCCCCCACTCAGAGGCCTAAAACTATAGACATTTCTCTTTCACGACACTGGCTAGCCAGGATTTGTCACCTTCAGCATCCTCAGGGAGCGGTCTGGTCCAAGTTCTGTTTCGGATTCCAGGCGAGACCACACAAACGGTCTGCCTTCTCCACCGGCCCGGGACGTCTTTACGTGCCTCTTAACCCTAGATCATCCCGCTGAGGTTCCTATCGGAAGTAGCTATGGGCAGTGGTGTCTTCTGGGAAATGCAGTCTGAGGGAAGAGCGCCTGGGCTGGAGCGGGAGCGTTCGGCCCGGCTCCGGGCTGCACTTGCGCAGTTTCACGGAAGGCTGGAGTGACGCCCACCTGTTAGGGTTCGTTTCCGGATTCCGGACTTAGCGTCCCGCTGAGGACAGATTTCGAAACAGGCACGGCGGCTGCCCTGACTCCCTCAAGGTAGCCGCCGCGGACCGTGGCTGAAGATAATTTTTGGCAGGCGCAGACAAACCCGGCCTCCCTTTGTGGAGTTGTGGTGAGAGAGGTGTTTTGTTGCGAGACCTGTCCTAAGGGGACTCCGGAGAAGGTGGATGTGAAACCGACTATGAGGGTGTAGCGCGTGAGATTTGTATGTGAAACGATTAAAAAAAAATTTTTTTTTGGCCGGGCGCGGTGGCTCAAGCCTGTAATCCCAGCACTTTGGGAGGCCGAGGCGGGTGGATCACGAAGTCAAGAGATCGAGACCA